ATGTATGTTTTGGGGACTGACCACTTGGTACTAGATAATCAATTAGGGGGCTCATCCCTATGGAAGATCAATTCTAACTCTCTTAGTAGGTGTTAATTATCTATAGCTCTTCATTTAGGTGTGGGGTTCAGTGAGATTCCCCCCATCTACATTGATATATTAACTAGTGTCATTGTTTATGCTTTATTTAGGTAGTCATACTGATGAAATTTCATGGGTGGTTTTTCTGTCTTATCTAGAAGACACAATCTTAAAACTCTTAATAGGTAATTTCAGCATTTGATTCATTTTTGATCTGCTGTCTGACGAGTATTTCTTGGTTCTTAGTATGAAAAGAGCTCTAACATCCAGCATTTCAGAGTTCATGAGAATACTCTATTTTAGTAAATATCCCCAATGGGATATTAGGCGAAATAGCTTAAGTACCATATGGATATAAATGCTCAGTATCTTGCTGGGTACACCAATACTACTCTGTCACAAGATTTCCAAGCAAAAATTGAGAGCTTGGGGGTGGGGGTGGGGGTGGGACAGGAGTAAGGGGAGATGTGGAGAGAGAAGTGAGAAGGAGAGGATGTGGAGAGCATGGGGGAATGGGGCAGTTGGGATGGAGGAGGAGTGGATATGGGAGCAGGGAAGTATATATCTTAATTAAGGGAGCCACTTGAAGGTTGGCAAAAGACTAGACTCTAGAGGGGTTCCCAGGTGTCCAAGGAGATGTCCCCATTTTGTTCCTTGAGCAGCTGAGGAGAGGGTGCCTGAACTGGCCATATACTATAGCCACACTGATGAATATCTTGCATATCACCATAGAACCTTCATCTGGTAATGGATGGAGATAGAGACAGAGACCCACTTGGAGCACTGGACTGAGCTCCCAAGGTCCAAATTAGGAGCAGAAGGAGAGAGAACATGAGCAAGGAAGTCAGGGCCACTAGGGGTGGTGCGCCCACCCATTGTGATGGTGGGGCTAATCTAATGGGAACTCACCAAGGCCAGCTAGACTGGGAATGATGGAGCATGTGATCAAACCGGACTCTCTGCACATGGCTGACAGGGAGGGCTGACTGAGAAACCAAGGACAATGGCACTGGGTTTTGATTCTACTCCATGTACTGGCTTTGTGGGAACCTAGTCTGTTTGGATCCTCACCTTCCTAGACCTGGATGGAGGGGAGAGGATCTTGAACTTCCCATAGGGCAGGGAACCCTGACTACTCTTTGGACTGGAAAGGGAGGGGGAGGGGAAATAAAAGGAGGGGGAGGGAAATGGGAGGAGGTGAGGAGGTGAAAATTTATAATAAGAATAATAATAACAATAATGAAACACTGATTCATATGGGAAGTAAATGTTCACTTTCCCTGTTGTATGCAAAAAGACTTGCCTGGTAAAAGTGGGTATCATCTTATGTCACTGTTGATTCTAAATCAGGGCAGATGCTGAGGCCATAATGGGGAGAGAAAATATCAGTATTGTCAGCCTTAATGGGGCAAAGAGTGACTACTTGGCCTCACTGACATAAAAAAGAAAAGATATGATAATGATGACTAGCTTCACCTAGAACTGCCTTGTTCAGTCATTGTGTTCCTGGATGGGTCTTGGATGGGATGACTGTGGGCAGAAATGAAGGGGTAAATACGGAAGATCAGATTTCTGTTGGCTCTGCTAACCTAAAGGTTAACTAAATAACATTTTTCATTGATGTTTAGTGAGAATCAAGTGAAGAGTGCTGAACTGTTTTTTCATATCCTTAGGCAACTCTGATCTTTTTCTTCCAGCTAGACAAAAGGCTTATATGAGCGAGTCCATATAAGCATTTTGTCTATGAGTCCAGGCTGAAAGCTTCTTTAGTACCCTGTCCAGAACACACAGAAGATTATAATACATGGCAAGGCAAAACAGGGACTTACTGGCTATGTCATTTCTTAAATCCTGTTGTACTTGGATTATTTGCTTTTCTCTTTCCATTTTTTTTGATGTTTTCCTATTTTTCCATATTTTCTACCAATCTTTAGATTCCTGCTAACAGGAAGACTTTGAAGGATTGAGGTTATTTTATTTTGCTGGTTTTAGAAGTGGTTTTTAGCAAGAATACTTTTGAAAACTGACAAATTTATTGTAGTATTGTCTGGAACAATTAACTCATAAGCAATATATGAACTTTATAAGGGTTTTTGGTGTTCAAACATTATAAATATATTATATCTGACAAAAATGAGATAGGTTTCATTGTTATTCTAAGACTAAAATATGCATAAATATATTTATTTATATATGGTACATTATAAGTAGCATATCAAGGTTAAGCTACATCATACATTTTGATGATTTCAGATTATTTGACTCTCAGTCAGGCAATCTTGATGCACACCTTTAACCCTAGTAACTGGGAGGCAGAGACAAGTGGAACTTGTAAATTCAAGGCCAGTCCTGGTATGCTGAGAAAGTTCAAGGACAGTCAGGGCTATTAGACAGAGAAAGCATTTACCACCTCCACCACCACCCACTGCTCCCCCCCCCCCAAGAAGCAGAAGGAGAAGGAGAAGAACAAGAACAAGAAGAAAAGAAAGAAAAGAAAAAAAACAAAACAACAAAAAGTTTTCAAAGTTTTTCAACCAACACATTTAAAAATGTTTTTATGCCTCAATACTCAATCTCAATTCAGTTACTGGACATATGCTTTAAGGAATCTCCTAATAAAATTCATAATTCTAAAATCGGTCAAAATAAAAGAAAAATCTCACAAAAATTAAAACCCCTTACAAGATGAGTTAATGTTTCTGTATATTAATTAAATACAAATCTATTGCTCCCAGGACATATCTGCTCTAGGATATGTCTTGAAGCCACTTAATGTTATTCCTTAATAAAACTTTCCAAGTTGATTGTCTTTACTAGCAAGATCTCAACTAACTGCTATATGATTGCAAATCCTAATGTTAATCATAGGATTCTTCTTGATTCTAGGCTGACTTAGTCAATGAATCCTGATACTCTTGAGATTCTTTTTGTTTCTTTTTTTGTTCTTGTGTGTGTGGTTGGTTTTTTTTTTTTTTTTTGAGACAGGGTTTCTCTGTGATAAGGTCCTGGCTGTCCTGGAATTCACTTTGAAGAACAGGAGAACAGGAGGCCTCAAACTCAGAGATCTTCCTACCTTTGCCTCCAGGGTGCTGGAATTAAAGGCATGCAACCTGCACACTCAGCTAAATTTGTCCTTTCCCCGCCTTGAAATAGTCAGATCTCATTAAGACTGGGTGGCTTAGAAATTGATGTATTGACCAGGCTTGCCCCAAACTTGCTATGATCTTTTTGACTCTGATTGCCAACTGCTATGATTACAGGCTTGCCTCAATCACCCAAAGAAAGATTGGACCTGGAGTTTTATGCATGATAGGCAAGCACTCGGCAAACTGAGCTACATCCTAGCCTCTTTCTCTTCTAATTTGAGAGCAAGTGTATAGCAATATTTAATAAAGAGATCATACAGTAGAAGAAAGGTGATATAATAAAACCAATAGTTTCTCACATAATAGGTTTAAATGACTTAAAATTAATAAGCAAAATAAAGGATAAATTACAAAATTTTCAGTTTATTGAAGTTGATACTGAAAAGTTCAATGAAATTAAGCATTATATATATTTTTATAAATCAATCACAAGACTTGTAAAGACTTACAAGGAGAAGAATATTAAAAAAATTCATTATATATATTAATATTTATACATAATGTCTTCTATTTTCAATAAATCACATAGGAAGGTTTTTTTACATATATATTTTACTTAGATTTTCCCCCAGAACTGTATTGGAAACATAAGATATAAAATTTTATGGCAATTCTGTAAAATACATGTATTTTAAACTTGAGTAGATTAACTAGGACTACAATAATGTCTTCACATACTACAAGATTCAATGATATTTAAGTAAGAATTTCCCCCTCAGCTCCTAAATAAAATGCTAAAGGCTCTGTAAGTGTGAAAATTTCATACTATACCTTGATTTCTTCTATTTCATCTGGTACTATCTTGTATGCTGATATAGTTCCACCCAACCTGAAATTAGAAGAAAATATTTTGAAAACTAGCAACAGTGTAAAACGTATGGATGATATATACCATTAGTATTAGAGTATCACCAGAAATCTCCAAAGACCTAACGCAATAGCCATGGGGGAAAACATTTTTGATTCACTGTTCCATTTGTATTAGATTTTTGTTCTGAATTAAACTTCCATTATTGATGATTTTAATAATGTTGGAGCTGTCACATTTATTACTGGATTCTGTCACAACATACATCAAGAACCGAAAGCAGACCTGTTTTTATTTGTTTAATTAATAAAATTGATTTCTGGGAATAGTTTGTGAAAATTTCTGAAAAAAGATCAAAAAGTGAAGTTAACACATCCTGCTTTAAGCCTACTTCCTAGTTTCCCAATAATTATCATCTTATATTTGTGTGGTACAATTGTCACAACTAATGCACCAATATTGATTCTGTTTAATTTTTTAAAAAACAGAGAGTTGCCAGGTAGTGGTGGTGCACGCCTCTAATCAAAGCACTTGGGGGGCAGAGGCTGGCAAATCTCTGTAAGTTCAAGGCCAGCTTGGTCTACAAGAGCTAGTTCTGGGACAGGCTCCAGAGCTACAGAGAAACCGTATCTTGAAAAACGAAGAAACATAATGCAATGCCCATTTAATCCCAACAAAATTCTTCACAGACCTTGAGAGGACAATAATCAACTTTATATGGAAAAACAAAAAACCCAGGATAGCCAAAACAATCTTATACAATAAAGGAACTTCAGGAGGCATTACCATCCCTGACTTCAAACTCTATTACAGAGCTACAGTAATGAAAACAGCTTGGTACTGGCATAAAAACAGAGAAGTCGACCAATGGAATTGAGTAGAAGACCCGGATATTAACCCACAAACCTATGAACACCTGATTTTTGACAAAGGAGCTAAAAGTATACAATGGAAGAAAGAAAGCATCTTCAACAAATGGTGCTGGCAGAACTGGATGTCAGCCTGTAGAAGAATGAAAATAGACCCATATCTATCACCATGCACAAAACTCAAGTCCAAATGAATTAAAGATCTCAATATCAATCTGAACACACTGAACCTGATAAAAGAGAAAGTGGAAAATAGTCTACAACATATGGGCACAGGAGACCACTTCCTACGTATAACCCCTGTAGCACAGACAATAAGGGTAACATTGAAAAAATGGGACCTCCTGAAAGTGAGAAGCTTCTGTAAAGCAAAGGACACTGTCATTAAGACAAAAAGGCAAACTACTGATTGGGAGAAGATCTCCAACAACCCCGCAACAGACAAAGGTCTGATCTCCAAAATATATAGAGAACTCAAGAAACTAAACATTAAAACTCTAATTAACCCAATTAAAAAATGGGATAGTGTTCTGAATAGAGAATTCTCAACTGAAGAAGTTAAAATGGCCAAGACACTTAAGTTCATGTTTAACCTCCTTAGCGATCAGGGAAATGCAAATAAAAACAACTTTGAGATACCATCTTACACCTGTCAGAATGGCTAAAATCAAAAACACCAATGATAGCCTATGCTGGAGAGGATGTGGAGTAAGGGGAACACTCATCCATTGCTGGTGGGAATGCAAACTTGTGCAACCACTTTGGAAATCAGTGTGGTGGTTTCTCAGGAAATTCGGAATCAACCTACCCCAGGATCCAGCAATATACCCAAGAGATGCCCTATCATACTACAAAAGCATTTGTTCAACTATGTTCATAGCAGCATTATTTGTAATAGCCAGAACCTGGAAACAACCTAGATGCCCCTCAATGGAAGAATGTATAAAGAAAGTGTGGAATATATACGCGTTAGAGTATTACTCAGCGGTAAAAAAACAATGACATCTTGAATTTTGCATGCAAATGGATGGAAATAGAGAACACTATCCTGAGTGAGATAACCCCAACCCAAAAAGATGAATATGGTATGTACTCACTCATTAGTGGATTCTAGCCATAAATAAAGAACATTGAGCCTATAATTCATGATCCCAGAGAAGCTAAATAGGAAGGTGAACCCCCCAAAAAACATG